AGTGATCAGGCAGAGTGCACCACTCATTTTTGGAAAAAAGGCGTCCGAGGCGGAACCAAAACCCTGAGAGTTGTGATGACGTTCAAGCTATGCGCACGAGCTATGCGCATATCACTTCCTATGTTTGGTAGGGCCTTCACGTTATGCCTGTTTTATATATACAGTAATTCAGGGAGTCTAATTGAGACAGCAGTTAGAGAGGGGGGTCGTATACAGCGATCGTGTGCCACACCTCTTGCTTGACCCTGGTCATAATGAAGAGCTGATTTTCAAAATTCTTCATGCCATCGAAAAAAGCCATTTTGATGGTATGAAAACGCTGCGAACTTTCAAAATGACCCATTGATTAGCAGAAAAAAGGGAAAATTATTTCATCTTTTGAATATGTTAGAATGGACAGGACCAAAAGTCCTGATTGCTAGAACTTTTTCGTTTAAAACATTATTTGATGCTTATTACCTCAATAATTTCTTAATGCCAATGCCAAAGCTCGTATTAACCTAATTTAGTTAAGGCTGTGAGAGTGAAGCAAATGAATCTTTGCTAGATTGGATATTCAAAAAAAAAACGAAACGAGTAATCATGAACCTCTTTTAGTAACTGGCATGCAAATGCGACCTGCGCCACAACTCATAAACTTTTCATAATACGAGAATTCTCATAGTTGACAAGTTGCTATTAGTGCCTACAAATTCGTGGTTATTTCAAGCAATGTCAGAGTGTCCTACGAAAGTTTGTTTTTCTCAGTGTAGATAGGTGGGGATGCCCTTATTGCAAATCACTTGATGTTTAAGATGAACGATGATCCCATGCAAAATCAATGAAACGCTTGTAAGCGTCAAGTCAGGTAACTGGGAGCGTAAACCTTCTGCACAATCAAAGACGCCTTTTCTTGATTTTCATCTTTTCGGGTTGCTGAACTCCGACCTTAATTAGATACGTCTTTTCTTGGATAACAAGTGCATTTGCTTATTGCTCATTCGGACGAACTCGTCGTTGATCTCCCATGTACTCGATACTGTCAAACTGAATCACATACTGACCTTGTGGGCGTACTAATCTAATACGAATCAACCTCGCAGAAATGGCTTCTTATTTGCTTGAGCTATTCTTGTGCTACTTTATTACTCCCTCTGCTCTCATATATGCCACGATCGCTCCATCAAAATCTAAATTTTCAACGCCTGCAAGCTCGAGCAAGTCATGCTCAGAAAATTTTATGTCAGAGTAAGGATTTATCAACATATCGCTCCAGTAAGATTCGACCATTTACTCAGCATCGAACACTCCACCGTTTGGAATAACACATACAAATGGATTGTGATCACTGGAAGCTCTAAAATTTTCGAAACTGCTATGAAGGTAATCTTGTCGAAATGGATGGTTTGTGCAATCAACCTTGTTTTTCTCGAAACCATCAAAATCAAAAAATAGATTTGGAACTGCTGTTTAAAATTCGGAAAGTGTAACCAACGCTGTTCTATCATTCAAAAAAATCTCCGTTTCCCCTTCCCCACGAAAACATTGGGACTACCAGTGGTGAATTGCTATTGGAAAGAACGATATTTCAGAGTTCACTAACGATGCAAGAATGGAACTTTGCGTTCGTCGATGCTGAAGTGAACAAAGGAAATGGAAGTCTGGTCAATGTTCATCATATCACATCGCAGCGTAAAAAATTCGGAGAATTGCGAGCAAGTTGGTTGCAGCCCGAGTATCAGTTGAAAGCAGCTTTTCTGTTCTTAAGAACAATTGTTGTTGTTGTTGTTGTTGAACGATTGTTCTCGAACAATTGTTCAGCAAATGTTCGAGCTTTTATTGGAATCATTTGCATGTTTACGGTCTATCGAGTTTTTAGCCAGAATCGACGGTTACATTTATGCTATTAGAAATGGAGCAAAACACATATACGAAGGCGACTTCAGCGGCAACGATGGTATGCTCAAGAGTCTTTAACAATAAGCCGCACGGGACTGTTAAGGTGGTCAACAACTTGCTAATTTTGACTTTGCTGAGAAAAGTAGTGGACTTATATACTCAGAACGAGGCGTAGGAGGCAGGTTGGCTTATAACTTTTTTTTAGCACTTCTTGCATAGTTATGTATTCCATCACACAATATAATCAATTGTTCATGTCTCTGATGTTAATTCTGGCCAAGACGAAGTTTTTCTTAAATGCACGTAATAAGTAATAACTGTCAAGCCAAAGCTTCAACAAAGAGTCAGAAGAGTTTGACAAATTTTTGTCTACTCAGTTTTTTCAATCTCGAAAATTGGTCAAAAGACGAAGTAGACAAGAATACATCAAAAGCTAGCCGGTATAACCGACTTAGCTCGTCTTTGTCAATATACGGTATGTCTCAATTGCGTACTCCCTCATTTACTTACAGTTAGATACTTAGACGACCCGTCTTCACGTGAAGTGCAGCCGTAGCACAGAAGTGTAAAGTGATCCCTGTCCCTTGCTTCAGACTTCCACGATCTTCTTAGTCGTCGCCAGCTGCTGCGTCCACGAGTTTCCAGAAACAAAAATCGTATCCATCGTATCGTGACTTCTCAGCTAGTTTATCCGTTCCACGAACACATCTGCCCAGCTCGTTGGAGGTCTTCTTCGAGGACGTTTTTCTTAGCGAGAAATCCGCTCCGATGTTCTTAGTGCCCATCTGTCGTCTTTTCTTTTCATGATGTGACGGCCCATTAATGCTTCGCTTTCGCAACGTATTCCGCTGGGTTACAAAGACGCGAGTTTCTTCTTACCCTTGTGTCGGTCACCTTCAGAAGACTGCGCTCAAGCGCTCTGTGGGTGGTCGGTAGCGCTTTCGACGTGGCTACAATGTCGACCCAAGTCTCAGTTGCGTAACGGAACGCCAGGAGAACCGTTGAGTCGTATAGGTGGGCTCGAAGCTCCGGGTCCTCAGTTGGTCTGGCTTCCTTCAAAGGCCCGAAGGCAGCCCAAGCTGCTTTTTTCTCCTGTTAAGTTCTTCCCTCAAGTCATTTTTCATGCTCATCGAACGCCGAGATACATGTAAGTATACGTCTCCATAGTAGGGGTGCCTTCCACTTCCATTTCTGCATCTTCGCAAAGGGTGTTATCCATGAACTGAGTTTTCTTCCGATTTATTCGCAATCTGATCTTCTTCCCTACTTCGTTTAGTTCGTTCAGCATCGTCTCTGCTTCAATGATACTGCTCGAAAAGAGTACGATGTCGTCCGCAAAACGGAGATTCGAGGGGAATCTCGGATCAACCCGTTTGTCTCTCTTGTCCCAGTCCAGTGACTTCATCACCCACTACAAGGCCACGGTGAACAGCTTGGGCGAGATTGTGTCGTCTTGTCGGACCCCCTTCGCAATTAAATGGTCAGGGGCGATGGAATAGCTGATCGTCGTTGCACAATCCTTGCAGCAGGCTAACGTCCTCACATAAGCAGGGTTCACTTTTTTATCGACAAGCGCTGACAGGATGGCGTTGATTGAACGCTGCTAAAGGCTTTCTCGTAGCCGACGAAGGTTAAGACGAGAGGCAGTGACAGATTTCTACAGGGTGCGCCAAAATTACCAGCGCGTTTTTTGGTTGCCAAAAGGATACTAAACGGGCCTGAGGGCGGACTAAGTATGTGTTTGTTTTCATCAACCATCATAAATGTAATGCAATAAAATATGCTGATTTTCCTTTCAGAAAATTCATTCTTTGGCAAGCAGTATTCTGTATGCAAGCATGACTTCAAGTTTTAATATATCACCTTTTCAATAACCTTTTTTCTTGCTTTGTAATTACGCAGAAAAGTAGAGCAAGCCTTCGTTTTCATTACTGCTAACGGAAATTTGAAAAAATATTTTGAAGTGGAGTTGATTTTTGAAAAACATGGTTGAGAGGGCATAATTGGTGTGTTTCGGCCTTCTCAAGTGAGCTTTATGATCAGAAAATGTCTAATAAATCAAATTCAAAACCACCACCAACTAATCGATGATATATACCTTCTACAAGTCTCATAAATAGAGAATTGTTTTTTGTGGACGTAATCATCAAAGAACCTTAAAGGTAAATTTTATCCGCCAATCCCTTACCCCAGAAAACGATTAACGCGTATTCATAGAAGTGGCCCATCCGGGTAAATTTAACCATGGTATAGAGCAAGATCGGATTCATTCTGACACTTCGTACAAACGTCAAGTGATCTCTCGAGGCACTACTCTGTCCTAACAATACTGTTTTGACAATAAACACATATTTACGTTTACTACTATCTCAAACTTTCTATGGACTCTTTTCGTGTTTTCGTTTGATGTTATCATCAGGTATTATATTTAGCCGGAATGTTATAGTAAAAGATTTAGTTGAATAAAGTGCATGTCTAACTAAAAGCTTTGATATGGCGAACATCAAGCTCAACAACTCGGTAAATCTTTATGGAACTCCCTCATTGAAGATTCAGTCCACCAACATATTCGTTCAGTGAACGATTTGATACATGATCAAATTATCGTAGCTCAACCAAAACTTGCAGCTGACCAACAAAATACCAAAAAAAAATTCATCTTAGTTGTTATATGATTAGACGAGACGAAGTGAGAACTTAGGAACTTTGAGATAGCAATAATCAGAAGTATGTGTTTGTAAAAACAGTATCGTCGAGACTGAGTGGTACATTGAGGAATCACCACTCAGTCTCTACGATACCGTTTTGACAACAAACAGACCTCCTTATGTTTGTACGAAGTGTCAGGGTAAAACGTTGCTCTACGTCAGAGTAAAATTTACCCTGATGAGCCACGTTCATAAATACGGGCTAATCTTCTGGGGTAAAGTTATCTTCAGGGTCGTTGATGAATATGGGTTATTATTTTTCGGAGTAAGGTTTACCCTCAAGCTCAAGCTTAACCTCAAGGAAGATTTAACTCTCGATGTTAAGCTTACCCTGTGCTTCGTGAATACGAATTTGTTTTCTGAGGTGAAACTCAACCTCAAGGGCAAGGTTTACCCACAGGGTTCATTGATGAGTACGGCCACGGAAGGTTTTTGCATGTCTGGGTCTCATATTCGATATTGAACATAAGGACATTGCTCGTACGCAGGTATTTCTCGAAAGTACAATTTTCAAAATCTGCAAATGCAACTAGGCGCATATCTGATGGAGCACATTGTGCTCTACAATCTCAGCTTAGAGGAATCTAGAAAAGCTTTGAGTTCATTCAGCTCCTTAAAATTGCTAGTGATTCTTTCGATTCTCACATTCTTGAAAAGAGATCTTTTTGAATTTTGAATCTATTTTTTAGAGATTGATTGTGATTCTATGACATAGATTTGAGCTTGCATTTCTCGGTGGCTTCTTCATACATTGCTTGTAAAGTAGGCGTCGATAATTTTGGGCGCCTTGTATGATCCTAACCGTCTGGATGTGGTCCATGCAACTGAATCCTCTGCCAAATCTAGTTTGTTTTTGGGGCCTGGGCCCCAATCAATGTCATGGATATGCAAACGAGGATAATCTTCGTGGCATGCTTGTACAACACACTCAGCAGGAATATTGGGCGATAGTTCCGCAGATTTTCCCATTTGCTCTTTTTGAAAAAAAGGACGATTCTTGGTTTGCTGGCCGACCTTTCCTTCTAAAGGTAAGATTTTATGCGACGCGAGAATCTCGCATAGAAATTGTCTTCCGGCTCGCAGAAGCTCGAGGAAAGATGGTCTAGATCCAGCCGTGGACGTCTTCATAGTCTGAATCGCGGTGCACATTTCAGTAGATAGAATCAGTGGCAGTACGCGGGCATCGGCATCGGTACTGATGGGCGGAACAAGTCGATGTGGACTTTGCGATAGGCTCCATCTTATATTGGAAGTACTCTTTTTCGCTAGAAAATACGCGAGGGATTTGCGCGGATCAATCAGAGAGGAAAGGAGATCGTAGATAAGGTGACGTTGACGATAATGTACAGATATGCCACATGTTGAAAGTATGTCACATCAAAAGCCGCCAAACTAAGGAATTGAGCCAGCCAAGCCTCGTTTTCGCTTTCGACTATTGTGCTTTCAACAACACTACCCAGAAAAAAGACAAATCAGGCTAGGTTCTGCAAAAACTACGTGATATAGTCTAGCAAATGGCATAATAATATCACCTGTCAAAACTTTCCCGTGACAAAAATGTTGGGTTGTGAGGGGCGCTGGTTACGCGCGGGTGGCAAAAGAAAGTTGCCACGACGCGGCGCTACAGTTACCCACGAGGGAGGCAGCAGGCCAGCAGTAGGATACGTAATTCTCCATGTTTCAGTCATTCCAGATTACTGATTTATTTGCGGTACCTTAGTAGACCATGTACCTTTTTTCCTTCATTCTAATCCTTATTCATGATCGATAACCTCTTAAAAGCGAGGGCTTCTTTTGGCATTGAAATCGCGGAATCCCTGAGGATATGCTTAAAGAAATCAAAACTTTATTACAGTGAAGTAAAATGAAGTAAAATTCTTGTGATTAGGTACGTATTTTTTGAATTTTTCTTTCAAGGAGTGGTAGGGGGGGGGGGGGGGAGGGGGTAGAAGTTTGCCGCCGAATTTCACTTAAATGGTAGGCACCAACATAAAGGTAGTAAAAACCTTAACAAATGATGGAGAAATGCGCCGCGAGTTTCAATGGCCGAGTTCTTCACGCACCGGTTACCGCCTGCATGTCGCGCGCGGCGCTTGTGTAATAAACACTCAGTAACGATAGCACACTGGAGAGAGGCATGGAATCTGAACTTTAGAATGTGATTTCGAAGCTGCAATCGTCCTCCTCCCCCCCCCCCCCCCACCAGAGGATCAATGCATGCTGCCTTGAAATGGTTTTAAAATTACAGCAAAACTATAATCCGATAAGCGAAAGTGGTCAAGGTATGCTAAGCTGCAATCATTTTCTAGCTATTTAAATGGTATAAGGTTATGCTGCAGGACCACAAGTTCTCTTACATACTCTGAATCTTTTGTTAACCGTTAGTATTAGAATGTCTCATAATTTTTTACTGTTTTAATTCCAGCCGCTGTGTTTTTGTATCTTTCCTTCATCTGATGTGGTTCGAGTAGTTATTCGACAGGGCAAAGCAAGCTCTTCAAGATGGCTATC